AACTGAAGGGTAAAATAGTGCCAAGAAAGAGGTGGACAGAGTTGGCAAAGCATGTCGTAAGCAGGGATTTGAGAAGAGGGGATTCAGATGACAGAGAAATCCCAAGGGAGAAGCAGAATCCAATATAGAGAATGGAGGGGTCTTAAATAGAGCTAGGAATAAGAGATTTGCAGCCCAGGAAGTCAGGGAATACCTATAGAGGAAAGAAGGCCAAAAAGGAAAGAATTCTAGGCCAAGTATCCAGGGAATAATCCCCACTGCTGTGGTTCGAATGATGGTGACCTCTCAAAAATTCATGTTGAGGCTGGGCGCGGTGGCTCACGCCTGTAATTCCAGCACTTTGGGAGGCTGAGGCAGGCGGATCACAAGGTCAGGATTTCAAGACCATCCTGGCTAACACGGTGAAACCCCATCTCTACTAAAAATACAAAAAAAATTAGCCGGGTGTGGTGGCAGGCACCTGTAGGCCCAGCTACTCCGGAGGCTGAGGCAGGAGAATGGCGTGAACCCCGGAGGCGGAGCTTGCAGTGAGCTGAGATCGCGCCACTGCACTCCAGCCTGGGTGACAGAGCGAGACTCTGTCTCAAAAAAAATAAATAAAATAAAATGAAAATAAGAAATAAAATAAAATTCATGTTGAAATGTAATCTTCAGTGCAATAGTATGTTGCCCAGGCTGGTCTTAAACTCCTGGGCTCAAGTGATCCTCCCACCTTGGCCTCCCAAAATGCTGGCCCCGTAGGCATGAGCCACCATGCCTGGCCAAGACACTACCTTGAAAGCACAGAGTAGGCCAGGCGTGGTGGCTCAGGCTTGTAATCCCAGCATTTTGGGAGGCCGAGGTGGGCGGATCATGATGTCAGGAGTTTGAGAGCAGCCTGGCCAACACAGTGAAACCCTGTCTCTACTAAAAATACAAAAATTAACTGGGCATGGTGGCGGGCACCTATAATCCCAGCTATTTAGGAGGCTGAGGTAGGAGAATCACTTGATCACTTGAACCCGGGAGGTGGAGGTTGCAGTGAGCCAAGATTGCACCACTGCACTCCAGCCTGGGCAACACAGTGAGCCAAGATTGCACCACTGCACTCCAGCCTGGGCAACAGAGCTGAACTCAGCCTAAAAAAAAAAAGAAAGTAAGCACAGGCGTCCCTTACCAGACACCACCCAACCAATTATGCTAGCAACTTGATGGCATAATAATTGAATTGATATACCTGATTTAGAATCTTGTGAGAAACAAATTTCTGTTCTTTATAGATTTCCTAGTCTCAGATATTATGCTTAGCAGCACAATTGACTAAGATAGAAATTGGTACTGAGAAGTGGCGGTGTTGCTATAACAATACCTAAAATGGAGGCTGCTTTGGAGCTGGGTAATGGGTGAGGTTGGAGGAGTTTGGTGAGCCACAGAAGAAGCATGGCTCAGTTTACACGCCAAGTAAGGATCTGGTGAGGTTTCAGAAGACGATGAAAAGCCGTGAGAGAAAGCCTCCATCTTTGAAATTATCTTAGGTGGTTGGGAACAGAATGTTGGAAAAACAGGCAAAAAGGCCATTCTGATGAAATCTTAGATGGAAATGAGGAATATCTTATTGAAACTAGTGGAAAAGCCATCCTTGTTGGTAGCAGAGGATTTGTTCCTGGGAAAGAACAAGTCTGGGAAAGAAGGGAGTTTATTTCTGCAGCTGGTTACAGGAGAAGGCCGAGAATTCACCATACCAACGCAAAGTTACAAGATTTTTCTAGTGCTTATATAATTTGAGCTTCCACGCTAAGAGTGGAAATTGTACCCCAAAGAGGAGTGTTTCCTCTAATCTATGTCTTATTCAAGTAGGACTAGGGTCTGAAATCTTCTAGAGTCTGGAAAGCTTTTTATCTTAAGTGTACCTGAATAAGGTACATGTGTAAACAAGCTTATTATTCAACTAGACTTTAGGCTAAGAAAGCCCAGGCAAGGTCTTAATGGGTTTATTTTAATGTTCCAGCCCTTATGCTCAGGCACCAGTTTCTCCAGTTCTTTAATGTTTACAGTATGCACTTTGATTAGTCTGGTAATAGAGGGTCAGTGAAACAGACTGTTCTGGTTGCTAATGGAGCCTGCCTGGCAAATCAGGAGGTATTGCCTTAGTAGTTTTTGGAGGGTAGAATGTGGGCGATAAATGAACTAGGATATTTGGCAGAGAAATCTGTAAGCCAAGTTTTCAGGGTACTGCATGGCTTCTTCTAATTGCTGATAGTAAACTGTGAGAAGAGGAAAGTCAGTTAAGATAGAATTGGCAGGGGCTGGTGTACGGTGGTTCACGCCTGTAATCCCAGCACTTTGGGAGGCTGAGGCGGGTAGATCACGAGGTCAGAAGATGGAGACCATCCTGGCGAACAGGTAAAACTGCTCGATGAGCCACAACTTAGCTGGGCGTGGTGGCGGCACTCTGTAATCCCAACCCACTCGGGAGGCTCAGTGAGAATGGTGTGAAAACCAGAGGCAGAGCCGCAGGAGTCGAGATCTCACCACCACACTCCAGCCTGGGCGACAGAGCGAGATCAGTCCCCAAAAATAAATAAATAAAATAAAATAAAATAAAAATAAAAATAAAATCTATGCTTGAAATGTAATCTTCAGTGCACATATGTTGCCCAGGTTGGTCTTAAACTCCTGCTCAGTGATCCTCCCATTTGGTTTCCCAATGCTGGCCTCAGAGGCATAGAGCCACCATGCCTGGCCAAGACACTACCTGAAAGCACAGAGCAGGGCCAGGCGTGGTGGCTCAGGCTTGTAATCCTGTGCATTTTGGGAGACTGAGGTGGGCGGGTCACGATGTCAGGAGTTTGAGGAGTGGCTCAAGCAACACAGTGAAACCCTGTCTCTACTAAAAATACAAAAATTAACTGGGCATGGTGGCGGGCACCTATAATCCCAGCTATTTAGGAGGTTGAGGCAGGAGAATCACTTGATCACTTGAACCCGGGAGGTGGAGGTTGCAGTGAGCCAAGATTGCACCACTGCACTCCAGCCTGGGCAACAGAGTCAAACTCCATTTCAAAAAAAAAAAAAAAGAAAGCAAGCACAGGGTGTCCTTACTGAGACACCAATTAACCAATTATGCTAGCAACTTGATGGCATAATAATTGAATTGACATAATTGGATTTCCAGAACTGTGAGAAACAAATTTCTGTTCTTTATAGATTTCCTAGTCTCAGATATTGATGCTTAGCAGCACAATCTGACTGTTAAGATAGAAATTCACTGAGAAGTGGCGGGCAGCAGCACAAATACCTAAAATGTAGAGGCTAGTTTTGAGCTGGGCAAGCTGGGTAGAGGCTGGAGGAGTTTGGGAAGTGCACGCCAGCCATATGGCTCAGGCTTGCCACGCTGCTAAGGCGATCTCTGGTGAGGTTTCAGAAGACGATGAAAAGCCGAGAGAAAGCCTCCATCTTTGAAATTATCTGTGTGGTTGGGGAACAGAATGCTAAAAATATAGAAGTAAAGGCCATTCTGATGAAATCTTAGATGGAAATGAGGAATATCTTATTGGAAACTAGAGGAAAAGCCATCCTTGTTATAAAGTGGCAGAGGATTTGTTCCTGGAAAGAACAAGGTCTGGAAAGAAGGAGTTCATTTCTGCAGCTGGTTACAGGAGAAGGCCGGAGTAATTCACCATACCAATGCGGAAAGTATAAGATTTCTAGTGCTTATATACATTCTAAGCTCCACGCCAAGAGTGGAATAGCACCTCCAAAGAGGAGCGTTTCAATCTATGTCTTATCTTTGGCAGACCTCAGGTCTGAAATCTTTCTAGAGTCTTAGAAAGCTTTTTAATCTTATGTACCTGGAACAACGTACATGTAAAATGTTTTATTATTCAACTAGACTTTAGGCTAAGAAAGCCCAGACAAGGTCTTAATGGGTTTATTTTAATGTTCCAGCCCTTATGCTCAGGCACCAGTTTCTCCAGTTCTTTAATGTTTACATTATACATTGATTAGAATTATAATAGAGGGTCAGTGGAAACAGACTGTTCTGGTTGCTAATGGGAGCCTGCCTCGCTACAAAACTTGGTGGAGGTATTTCGTGTCTTAGTAGTTTTTGGAGGGTAGAAATGTAAGAGCAAATGAACTAGGATATTTGGCAGAAGAAATCGCTAAGCCAAGCCAGGGTACTGCATGGCTTCTTAATGCTGATATAAATCAGAGAAGAGAGAAAGTCAAGTTAAAGATAGAATTTATAGGCCAGGCATGGTGGTTCACGCCTGTAATCCCAGCACTTTGGGAGGCTGAGGTGGGCGGATCATGAGGTCAGAAGATAGAGACCATCCTGGCTAACAGGGTGAAACCCCGTCTCTACTAAAAATACAAAACCTTAGCTGGGCGTGGTGGTGGGTACCTGTAGTCCCAGCTACTCGGGAGGCTAAGGCAGGAGAATGGCGTGAACCCGGGAGGTGGAGCTTGCAGTGAGCTGAGATCACACCACTGCACTCCAGCCTGGGCGACAGAGCAAACTCCGTCTCAAAAAAAAAAAAAAAAAAAAAGATAGGACTTATAATCAGAAGGGAAACAGATTAGCCGGGATGGGTTGCTTGAGCACAGGAGGTCGAGGCTGCAATGAGCTATGATCATACTACAGTCTGGGCAACACAGTGAGTCCCTATCTTAAAAAAAAGATTATTATTATTATTATTATTATTATTATTATTGAGATGGAGTCTTGCTCTGTTGCACAGGCAGGAGTGCGATGGCATGATCTTGGCTCACTGCAACCTCTGCCTCCTGGGCTCAAGTGATTCTCCTGACTCAGCCTCCCAAGCAGCTGAGATTACAGGTGCCTGCCACCATGCCCGGCTAATTTTTGTATTTTTAGTAGAGATGGGGTTTCATCATATTGGCCAGGCTGGTCTCGAACTCCTGACCTTGTGACTCACCAACCTTGGCCTCCCAAAGTGCTGGGACTACAGGTGTGAGCAACCTCGCCTGGCCAAAGATGATGATGATGATTATTATTATTTTATCCAAAATGTGTTTATTGAGATGGTTTCCCACTCATCTTGATTCAGAGTGCTTTTAGTGCTGCTTCCTCCTAAAGGAACATCCTTCTGTAAGCCTTGCTTTTCCTCCTGTAGGCTGGCAGAGGACAGTGCAGCAGCCAACACACATAACTACCATTTGTACATGGCTAAAGACCGTGGTGATTTTATGGCATCCTGGGGATTTCATATCCATGAAGTAGGAATTGGGGCTCTGCACCAGGGGTTTCTTCTTGTGTTTCCTCTTCTCCGCCTCTGGAGAGGGATGAAGGAGATCCTTTGCAAGAGACATGTTCTCATGGGTAGGTCGTCCCTGCCGGAAAGGGCCAAAGAAAATTATTTTTAAAGGGAAGTTGGACATAAAGATTTGGAAAATTAACAGCCTGGCCTTGTGAAGAATTTTTAAAATGTGTTCAGGAGAGAAAACTAACTGTGTGGCCAACTGACCATTTTATAAGGAGGTTAGTATGACTAGGACACCGGACACTATTCATTAACACAATGGGAGGGTGACCCTGAAGACATTTCAGAGAACACTGAGGATGCCACAATCATCACAGATTCAAGTGCCAGGTCCTTGAGGGAATAACAATTTTAAGGAAGGAGCCCAGGGTCCCAGTGAAACCCAGGGTGCCTGTGGGAACTTGGGGCTCAGTGACTATGCTGCCTCATGTATCTCCTCCCTGAAGTCAAGCGAAGCGTTCCCCAGCTTCCCCATCTGTGGTTCAAGTGGGCCCAGGTACAGCTCAGATCACTCCTCCAGAAAACACAAGGAGCCAAACATGGGGCAGCTCCCATGTGGTGCTAACTGCGGGCATGCTAAATCTACAGCTGTGAAGGCATGGCTTTCTCCACCTAATTTCCGAGGAAGCCTTGAAGAATGCCTCAGGGCCCAATCAGAGAACTGCTATAGGGGCAGGGCTGCCACAGAAAGTTCCCACCAGGGCAACGTCCAGCAGAACTGTTGGGTTGGGGCCACCACAGAGTACCCTCACTAGGGCAATACTCAGTGGAGCCATGTGGGCAGGGCCACCCCTGAGTTCCCAGACCCAGACTTGTAGATTCACTAGTGCATAATTCCAACCTGTGATAGACATAGACACCTGACTACAACCTGCAGAACTGTGCTGTGGGCTGACTCCAGCAGTCATGGCAGCAGAGTCCCCTGGAGGCTTGGGAACCTAAGCCCTACCCCAGTGTCTCTGTAAGGTGAGAGGTAGAATCAAAAAAGCTGATTCTCACACCTCAAGATTAAATTTTGTTGGCCTTGTTGGGTTTGAAGTTATGTGGGACATGTTACCCCTATCTTCTTGCCTATTTCCTCCACTAACCTTTTGTTTTTGCCGTGGGCCTCGTGATCTGCCCGCCTCGGCCTCCCAAGGTGCTGGGATTACGGGGTGAGCCACCGTGCCTGGCCGAGATAAACAGGCTTCCATGTTAAAACTAGATTTTATAATGAGGTCCACAGATGGGTGGAGGATAAGCCTGAGTAAGTTTTGGTTAAGCAGAGAAACTCTGTCATCCCTCCTGTATGCGTTATGCTCCCTTTTCTGCAATGGAGCTCTCTTCCAACTTGACGTTATTTTCCAATCAATCTGTTTTCCTAGTGTTGATGTTCTGATTTCATCTTACAAACATATAGCATAAACTTTTATTTGTTGCATTATACAACATAAGCCTGACAATATAACAAATTGTTCCCAAAACTATAAATTCCTCGCCTTTTTATTTGTAATTTGACTTTTTAAACATCTATGTAATTATAGAAGAATGTTGCTATTACAAAAATTTTAAGGGGTGGCAGGGAATAATTCCAAAATTATAAAACTCCTTGTGACAAATTTAGGAATGATATTCAGCTAGTTCTATAGATTTTTATTCCTTGAATAATCAGAGATACACATCTGATTATAAAGACACATTGTGGGTTTTTTTGGCCAGATTGACTTTTTTTTTTTTTTTTTTTGAGATGGAACTCACTCTGCTGCCCAGGCTGGAGTGCAATGGCACAATCTCGGCTCACTGCAACCTCTGCCTCCCGGTTTCAAGTGATTCTCCTGCCTCAGCCTCCTGAGTACCTAGCATTACAGGCACCCGCCACCATGCCCAGCTAATTTTTGTATTTTTAGTAGAGATGGGGTTTCACTATGTTAGCCAGGCTGGTCTCAAACTCCTGACCTTGTTATCCACCCACCTTGGCCTCCCAAAGTGCTGGGATTACAGGCATGAGCCACCGTGTCTGGCCTTGGGTGACTTATGCTTTTAAGGAGCAATGTGGGTTAATGTTTCAAGGTGAAAAAATTTAAAAACTTGGGGGAAAGTGGGGGAAAGGGACAGAGAGCGATGTTGAGAGAGATCAGATAGGTACATAAGCTTAGTGACTCAGCCTGTACTCCCAGTTACTTACGAGGCTAAGGCAGGAGGATCACTTGAGCCCAGAAACTCAAGTTTTCAGTGAGCAGTGATTTTAACACGGCACTCCAGGCCATGCGCTAGAACCAGACCTCGTCTCTAGAAAAAAATAAAAAAATATATATACATATATACATTGGTGTGTGTTTCTACATATGCTTCATAGTATATGTGTACATGGATTATAGGTAGATCATATAATGGTAACAGTATTAAATTAGGTGGCAGCATTTGTTCAGGAAGTAGTATGTACTACGTTTGAAATTTTAATTGAGAATTGTGTCTGGGTGGGTTTGTGGTCTCGCTGACTTCAGGAACGAAGTTGAGAACCTTCACAGTGAGTGTTACAACTCTTAAAGGTGGCAGGGACCTGAAGAGTGAGCAGCAACAGGATTTATTGTGAAGAAGGAAAGAACAAAACTACCACACCACCAAAGGGAACCACAGCACGTTGCCCCTGGTGGTTGGGGTGGAGCGGCCAGCTTTTATTCCCTTATTTGTCCCCACCCATATCCTGCTGATTGGTCCATTTTGCAGAGTGCTGACTGGTCCATTTTACAGAGTGCTGATTGGTCCACTTTACAGAGCGCTGACTAGTCTATTTTACAAACCTCTAGCTAGCTACAGAGCCTCTGGTGGGTTTTTACACAGCACTGATTGGTGCATTTTACAAACCTCTTGTTAGACAGAAAAGTTCTCCAAGTCCCCACCCGACCCAGGAAGTACAGCTGGCTTCACCTCTCAGAATCAGCTTTTAAAGGCCATAAATTTCCAGGTAAGTAGGAATAGAAGAAACTAACATTTCCTTTGAGATCTATGATGTCATTTTTTTTCTCCATCAATGATTTAGTTCCTTCTGGATCAAATGCTTTTTACATGGATGTATGTTTTATAGAAGATGTTATGTTGTCTTAATTATTTTAAAACTCCTATTCCTAGACTCTCCTGAAGGAGAGAATTTAGTAGTTTTGAAGTATTTTTTGAGGCCAGGGAAGAAAAACCAAGATGACTGCATAAGGTTTCAGGGGATGTTCCATGCCTGCCACCTGGTGAAAATGAGGGCGCTTTCCTCCTACCCGCCACTATTGCAGCAGCCTGCAGGAAATACGCCATCATTTCAGCGCGGCCGGCTCGCCCCTGGGTATTCTGGGAAGGTGACGTGTCGGGGCCAGTGGCCGTTCGCAGGGGCCAAACTCGCGCTGGTCTGCCCCGCGGTGCGCAGTGAGGATGTTGGTGCTGCTCCTCAGGGTTTTTTTCCCGCGGCCGCGGGAAGCCCGTGTTCCGTATTTGTTTTTTATGTTCTCTCGTTTTTATATTGTGGATTTAGTTTTTTAAAAAACATAAGGCCGGGCGCGGTGGCTCAAGCCTGTAATCCCAGCACTTTGGGAGGCCGAGACGGGCGGATCACGAGGTCAGGAGATCGAGACCATCCTGGCTAACATGGTGAAACCCCGTCTCTACTAAAAAAAAAATACAGAAAACTAGCTGGGCGAGGTGGCGGGCGCCTGTAGTCCCAGCTACTCGGGAGGCTGAGGCAGGAGAATGGCGTGAACCCGGGAGGCGGAGCTTGCAGTGAGCTGAGATCCGGCCACTGCACTCCAGCCTGGGCGGCAGAGCGAGACTCCGTCTCAAAAAAAAAAAAAAAAAAAAAAAAATAAATATTCCTCTATAGTCTTAACAATGTACCCTATAAAATGAGATTTTAAAGGGTCCTACTTTCCCTATTAATTTTAGACTTTTTTCTTTTAGCTCTGCCTTTACAAATGTGACCTAAAGAGAGCACTTGGTTTTACGTAGAACAATACAAACATCGTTTTACATGAATTTTATGGTTACAGAAATCATTTATGGGCAAATTTGTTCACGTGCCTTACTTTTAAAATATTGTGTTGTCTTAAATAGATTTTCAAAATACTTTAAATATTTTTCAGTAAGTTTGAGGGTAGAATTTATTTTAAAGAGACTCCTCTTATAAAGTACATATCTGTGTGTGCATATGTGTATATTGAATTTGCTTTTGATTCTATCCTGTCACTTTTCTACCAAAATATCTCTAATGGACAGAGGCCAGAGAAGCACAGCAAATTTGCCACAGTACCACACATTTTATCTTAAAAGATGGTATGGATTTTGCATAACATATATGTGCAAACACATATATAACATATATAACATAAAAAACATACATATAAATAAAACATATAGCTGTTTGGTTTATTTTATGTGTGTGCATTAAAAAATTATTCAATTGCCAGGTGTGGTGGCTCATGCCTGTAATTCCAGCACTTTGGGAGGCCGAGGCAGGTGGATCATGAGATCAGGAGATCGAGACCATCCTGGCTAACACGGTGAAACCCGTCTCTACTAAAAATACAAAAAATTAGCCGGGCGTGGTGGTGGCGCCTGTAGTCCCAGCTACTCGGGAGGCTGAGGCAGGAGAATGGTGTGAACCCGGGAGGCGGAGCTGGCAGTGAGCCGAGATTGCACCACTGCACTCCGGCCTGGGCGACAGAGTGACACTCCGTCTCAAAAAAAAAAAAAAAAAAAAAAAAAATTCAATTATGCTTGTTAAAGCAAGGTAAGGGTCACCATGGTGATAGATACAGGGACCTCTGCAGATAGAGATTGGGCTAACTCTGAATACAGCCAGGGCAAGTGGGAGTTTATAACCAAAGAGCAGGCTGGGAGGTCTGTGAATGGAAACTTACCAAGGAGAAACCTCAAAGGTTAGGGGGATTATGGCGAAACCAGCGTAAAAGGATTTTTGCTGAAGACAGGCCAGGGTGATCAAACATCACTTGGGGGAATGGTGCAGGATGATAAACCTGGTAAGATATTTTTTGTTTGTTTTTGTTTTTGTTTTTTTGAGACGGAGTCTCGCTCTGTCCTTCAGGCTGGAGTGCAGTGGCGCCGTCTCTGCTCACTGCAAGCTCCGCCTCCCGGGTTCACGCCATTCTCCTGCCTCAGCCTCCGGAGTAGCTGGGACTACAGGTGCCCGCCACCACGCCCGGCTAATTTTTTGTATTTTCAGTAGAGACGGGGTTTCACCGTGTTAGCCAGGATGATCTCGGCCTCCCAAAGTGCTGGGATTACAGGCGTGAGCCACCGCGCCAGGCCCCTGAACCTGGTAAGATATTAAGGGAGATCAGATATCAAAGGTAAGGAGGTTCTTGCTAAAGTTGGATTTCACAAGGGAAGTGCACGGACCAGAGCAGGTTCAGGTGCTTGACTAAAGTTTGATCAAGCAAAGAATCTTTGTCAGTGTACAGAAAACTACGTTTTTATAAAATATTCCTCTGGCGCATCTGTATCTCCCCCTTTCATGGAATACAAAGCACGTTTTGCATAACTTCTAGATACATGTATTTTGAATGACCTGATGTATCTTCTCTTTACAATTCTCAGCCTCAGTATACATAAGTGGAACTTAGAAGGCAACATCCCTGAACATACTGTTCCACCAGAATCTCCTCTACAGATTTTTGCTGCCCGTTTTACCAGTGGCTGAAGCTACCTTCTCTTATGTAAGTATAAATGTTACATATCTCCAGCCTCTTCCTCCTTACCTGCCAACCCTGTCTTGTCCATGACCTCCTCTGTTATGAATGCTTATAAAACGTTTTTTTCTGAATCAGAAACGTGTTGTATTGCTCAAGCCATGTTCATTTTAATTACAATTTAACTGCATAATTTAATTTCCCCATTTTTTGGATATAGTGTTTGCTTTTCTCCAGTGGTTCTACTTTGTTCTAGTATATCCCTCTGGCAAGGGCAGTTGTTTCCCCACTTGAGTGGGCATTAGTATCACCTGGGGGCTTGTTAAACTGTGCAGGCTCCATCCCAGGTTTCTAATTGTCAGGGTTTGGTTTGCGGCATAAGAATTTGCATTTCTAACAAGTGCCAGAATTGGTCTGAGGAATGCACGTTGAGAGAAGTGGGATTCGGTTCACTAACCTGGGTTAGAGAAAATTACAGTAGTGTGCCAAATCTGAGGAGGGAGCAGAGTTGAAGCCCAGTTTCAATAGGTGAATGAGTGCTTTATACACTCAAACCCCTTCAAGGGCTGGGGAGTAAGGGAGAACGTGAGCAGGTGGGCAGGGGGCGTGCACAGAGGCATACACTCAATCTCAGACCTATGGATTGAGAATCACATGTTAATAATACTTTCAGTGTTTTGAGTGTTTATTACAGTTTGAGAATGACTGGACCAAATTGCCTCCAAAATCTTAAGTCCCAGCAGCAAAGCGAAGCTCAGACAGCATTTGGATGGCTATTGCTTTCTCTCTGTGTTTTAAGTCAGCTGTTGTTAAAGGTTTGTGTCAGAGTTACCCAGGTGTAGTACCCTTTCAAGTAGATAATGATTGAAAGAGTATGTCCTGCAGGTGTATGATATTTTCCATCCACTTCAGCACGTTTTTCTGATGGGTCAATGACAGTCCATGAATTGTCTGGTTTAATACTCAAAAATTCTGGAAGTGGCATATATTCAAGGACAGCCATAATATTCCACTTGGCTAAGGCTCTTCTGACAGGCTCATGTTCATGCAGGATCAGAT